TATCAGCATTGCTGGCGTTGTTTACAGCTTTATGTACAGCTCACCTCCTATTCAGCACTAGAATGTTTAAGCCACACCCACCGAAACGCAGGCCAAAACCACAGGAGCCAGCATCTTGTGAAAGCAAACGACAGCGGACCAACAAGCAGTCCCCAGTATTAGAGGAAGCCACCCAGACTCGAAACCTACTCGCCTGCAGCGAATGCGGATCAGAAGAGATCATCGATAACGACAGCGAAACATACTGTGGAGAGTGCGGCACAGTAATAGACGACCTGCTGCTGACTGCTGACTACTCGTATGAAGCTACCGGTGAGCAGATCAGTCGAGGAAACTATGTATTTCTTCCGCGAGTCATTGGCGATAGCAGTGAAGCCAAAGACCGGCTGAGCAAGTACATCAACAAGGTCAACATGTCGTTAGTGCGCGGACGCATTGCCCAGTTGTCAGCACTGCTCGGCTTGCCTGGTCTGGAGGACCGTGCCAAGCATCTGTTTGAGGATACAGCGGCCATTCTGGCGAACAGGGCGGAGAGCAGGATATTTGGGAAATTCGGCCATGTTTATGCAGCAGCATGTGTGTATATTGCGGGCGTAGAAGACGGCCGGCCGTTGACGCTAGTTGATTTGGCAGCCCATGCACACCTGAGCGTTTATGTGATCGGCCGGGCAGTGAAGCAAGTGTGTACGATGCTAAAGCTAGCACTGAGTTTGAAAGACCCGCTGCTGCTGATTGAGCGAACGGCCAATCGGTTGTTTGGCCAAGTCATCCACTCTGGTGCCAATCCCGACACCCTGCGCACTCTCGAGGCACAGATTTCTGTCAATTACAAGGTGGCCAAGGGGTTTCCTCGCACTATCGTGGAATTCCTTTCCACACACGGGCAGCTGCGACCCAAGATTATCGAGATATCGGGCCAGGTCATGAATTTTGCTCGATCATGTTCGCTGGATACGGGATGCAATCCAGCAGCTATTGCGAGTGCTGCGGTAGTGGTCGGTGTTGAGCATGTGTACCTGACAGACGATGAAACTGAGGTGCCGGATTTGAAACGTGCCCAACGCGACGTAATCAGCAAGCTGCTGGCAGCTACCAGCGGAGGCAGCCACCACACAACTAGCAAGCATGTCCTAGCCATTCAGCGGTCGCTAGTCCCGGCCAGCCAAACAGTGCCATGGTTGGGCGACCTGAAAATTACTACCGATACAGTTGCATTGCATGTTGCCGACATCGTGTCATGCTTCCAGAAAGCACAGGCGTGGGTGTTTTCTACAGCCAATGTAAACAGAGGAGATGAGCGACAAGATTTTTCACTGCTCGCTGCAGATATGAGGCCAGCGACCAACGCTGGAGATGAAAGCGACGATAGCAGGCGTCTATCAGGGCCACCACTCGAATTGGATAAATTAATCGCCGAAATGCGAAAGGCGCCTTCATTTAAACGTGCCGAGCAAACACGCAATAAACGCGAAGCAGTGCTGGGTGCCCTGGGCGATAATGCTGAGCTGCCAGGCAGCATTTCTGCTGAGGACTTTGCCATTGCTAGTCTTGCTAGGCAAGGGATTAATCGTGAAGCACTGCTGACATTGCCTTGTCCACATTGGAGTTGCTATCGTCCTCGATTCAGCGACAGGCAGATATTGGTGGGCAGGCACTCGATTCTGTGGATGTTGGGCCGAACGATATGCCCGATGAAGAGCTGTGCCTATATCTAAAATCCCACGATAAGGAGCAGCCGTAGACATTGGTAAATCGCTTCGTACACTTTTCAGCAGCCATATTGATGCTACCTTTTCCAAACCCTTGATGCTTGTCGCTCATATACAGGCGTAGGCTGGATTAATTGAGGTGAATCAACCTCAACTACTTCACCCAAGGATGGTGGCCCATTGATTTGTGTATTGGACCTAGCACAGTGAAATGAATTCTCAATAGCACAGTCACAAACGAACAAATATATAAAACTCTATTCAGCATGTAATCACAGTCGAGTGGTGGTCATTGTAGCAGCTTTTCATAGCAACGGTACTGTAATATAAAGCCAGCAACCACCCTAGCAACAGTGACCATATTAACTGACTCCTTCATCAATCTCTGCTTCCACCAGCACTCTGCCATACGCAGTACATTCCAAATGAGATTCCCAGTCTACTTCTTCTTCATTGCCGTTGCATTCTTTGGCGTCGTCGCTCAGGCCATACCAACCACTCCTAGTGCCCTGCCGCCATCACAGAGTCGGGCCAGGGTTACTATCGGGCAGGTCATATCGGAGTTTGTCATTGGTATGACACAGGTCCTGGAAGGGACTATTGAAGACTACTTGCCTCCTTTTCTAGTCAACATGTTCGACCCAGGATATTATGGACCAGCACAGCCGACAACCCTCGCTGCTCCATCTCCTCATTGAAACTACTAAATGCTAGATACCGGGTGACAGCGAGGGTGCAAGTGGGGCGCTTAGGCTACTTCCATGTCGAAACAGACAGTGATATGTGATCAAGAAAAGCAGCTCGGCTCATCGAGAAAACGAGGGTGGCACTTGATGAGCTGGCACGCTCGGTTTCGTTTTTGCACTCTCTTCGCTTCAAGCTTTCTCTTCCTACCTCATAAAATACACTTCTTGCCAACCACTTCAATGGACGCATTTGTCGCGCATCTAGTACAGAATGGCGAGCAGACGAGCGGCACGGACCAGCAGCTGCTGGCAGAGGCCATAAGTCTGGAAACGGCACAGCAGCTAGCCAAGACCCTGTCGTCGCGGTTGGATTCGGGCAAAGAGAAAATTCGTGCGCATTTGCACCAAAATTACGACACATACCTGAAGACAGTCACTGAAGCTAGTGAGACGCAAGCAAAGGTCTCTGAGCTGCTCTGCGGCATCGATGAGCTGGAACTAAGCTTTGGCGACGAGGAAACTGGAATCCGTGCGCGCCTGCTCGGGGCCATCGACAAGCAGGCACGGGCTGAGCAGCAGCTCAACGAGAACCAGACAGTGTTGGAGTGCCTGCGCGCATTGGCAAGCATCAATGGGCATGTACACAGACTGGACTCGCTGATAAAAAGCAACGACTATCTGGAGGCAGCCCGGGTAATTAAGGAGATCGGACATATGCTGGACGAGGCAGAGGCCATAGAAGGGACAAGGATCAAGAATGCGCTGTTGGAGAGGGTGGAGCTAGCGCAGCATAATGTCAGAGAAAATGCGTTTAAGGCTGCACGCAAACTGTTGGAGATCAGCGTCGACAAAGAAAGTGCTGCGATTCGGGTCTCTGGAATCGACGGACGGGAACCCGGAGACCTAGTGAAGGGTTTGTTTGGTGCTTTGGAGATATTAGATGCAGCTAGCGAGCTGCGTGAAGCCATCGGAGAACACTTTATCAAGTCATTTGTGCGGCCAGTTCTTTCGGTGCAGTCGGCATCGGTAGCAGACAGCAGCCACAGCGAGCTGCCAGAAGCAGCCTTTGTCGCTGACCTCGATGACACAGGCAAAAAGAGTTCGACAGCAGCGGAGCTCTGTGGTGTAGTGACCGGAGCGATATCTTTCATCAACAAGGCATTCGGGGTCGACAGTAACCTGGCACTATGGAACAACCAGTGTGGCATCAATATCTGCAGCCTTGTGATTGAGCGGTGCTTCCTCAATACCATTCCTACCAAGTGGTGCGACTTGGCACAGTTCAGCACTGTCGCCGACTCGTTGGTAGGATCTGAGAAGCAGCTTGCTGAGCTGAGGCTGCTGGGTGACGAAAGCCGTCCGATATCTTTGGCAGTGAGCCGGCTTGATGAGATATATGCAACTCGGCGCTGCGACGCAGCGCTAAAGCTGGCACGGACTCTGGCAGAGAGTTCCAAATTCGCCATCCACGAGCTGAGCCAGCACGAGATTTGGTCGGCAGACTTTGTCCAGGCGCTAGTCGATGATTCTGACTGCGAGGTTGCACCGCGGCTTGCTGATGCGGCAGGCAAGATTGGCTCTGGGCATGTGTTCCCAAAGTGCACAATCTCGCAGACCATGAGCCAGCTGGTTGCAGAGGCCTACAGGCTTGTGAACGAGGCAGCCCAGACCCGGCCAATGGCTGACGCAGCTGTAGTGCAGTACTGTTTGGCAGCCTGCAACCTATTCGATCTGTATCGCCTGCTCTACCCTGTCCTTCATCGGGCTGAGCTATCGAAGATCCCCTCATTGGCGTGGCAGTTTTTCAGCGACTGCATGTACGCGTCGCACCACGCGCGGATCCTACAGCGCTTTACAAAAGAGCTGTTCGGTGATAGTGTTGGTGATATGCTGCCGCTGTGGCAGACTACGTCCACCCTGTACTTTGAGGTCGGCAACGCGCAGATTTCGGCGCTGGTGCAGCGTGAGACAAAGGAGATCCAGTCGATGGTGGATGCCAACAAAGACGGGTTCTTGAATGCCTCGGATGAGCTGCAGAAAGGAAAACTCGAGAGAATGGCTAAGCAAGTCAGGCTAGTTGTCACACAGCTTGCCAAGGGCATGCGGCCGCCGGTGACCACGCCCCACATATTCTACAGCACACTTGGCCGTTTTGCTGATGCTGCTTTCGGCGAGATTATCGACAACATTGTCGATATTCGTGATATCGGAGTCGATGACTCGCAGGTGCTCAGCGACCATTGCCGCACAATCTACGCTCTGACAGGCCTGTTCCAGCTTGATCCCACGGTCCTGAGCCAGTATGCCGATATTGCTAAATCCGAGGCGCCAGCAGAGCATGACGAGCTGCTTGATTCGGACGATGAGGCGGACGATCCGGTGGACGGCAGCTCGAGCAGCGCCAAGATTGCGCTAGAGCACTGCATGCTGGGCAACAAACTGCTGCAGCTAGCAGATATTCTGCTTATCTCGCGCGCTGACATTCTCGCGCGGCGGCGAGCCGGGCTGCTGGCGCAGTTTGCCGTTGACGACCTGGTGAATCTGATCCGCGCCCTGTTTTCGGAAACGCCCGAGCGCGCTCAGGATATCGAGGCCATCAGGAACATGTAGAAGGTATCGATAGAGATTGAATTACGTACGAAACAAATCGAGGCATAAGCGAGCTAGTGTGTGGTTGAGATAAAGTGTGTTTACTTGTTCTCGTGGCGATAGAGCGCCTCCTGGGTGACCTGGATCTCGTCGATCTCGGGCGCCAGGTCGCTGAGCAGCGAGGCTGCGGCCTTGTGGTACTCCAGCTGCGCGTTCACCAGTTCCGACAGGTAGCGCAGGGGCTCAGGCGACCCGACCACCGCCCGCATCAGGTTCATGGCTTCCTCAACGATGGTCACGAAGCGGTCCTCGGCGGACTCGACATCTCTGCGAGCCTACTCAAGTGCACACATGGTTGATATGAGTACGCAGCTCAAGCACGGCGGGAAACGGCACAATACACCAGGGCATGCTACTTACCGCATCAGCCCGGCTGGGCACGGAGTTCTTGAACGTCGACTTTGCAGCGTCCAGAGTCAGGCGGCAGCCTGCACCTCCTTGCGCGCGTTCTACATAAAATGATGAGGAAAAACATAAGCATATGACGAAGTCCACAGCAGCACGAGACCTCATCACTGGACCACAAACTCACCTGCGCCAAGGCAATGCTCGACTCGATAGTGGCCATCATAGGCGCAACAAACTTGTCCTGAATCGTCTTGTCCTGGGTCAGCTTCCCATCGCCGACCTTCTCTTCAATCGAGCCGAACTTGAACAGCGCTGCGCCAGAGGCTCCTCCAGACCAACCTTCTCCGACACCTCCAGGGCCGTGCGCGCCATCGCATGCTGGTGCGTGTTGGGCGTCTGGTCCTCCTTCTTTGCCGCCGCCGCCGCCACGCTCTCAGCGTCATTCTTGGCGCCAATCTTCACAGTCAGATTCGCCAACTGGTTTTGTAGAGCCTGCACGTCGTAGTGCGTGGGCGCGGCAGTGTAGGATTTGGCCAGCTTTACGAGCGACTGGGTCGCATGGCGCACAGCCTCGTAGCGCTGCTCCAGCTGGACATAGTCGTTGGGCAGGCTGGTGACCTCGGCGTTGTTGGCCAGCTTCTCAGTCGCAGCTACAGAGGGGTGTTTAGCCACAGGCGTGAGGACCGTTGCTGGGCCCGGGGGTCTACCGGAACTTACCTGCTTGTACTGCGTGAAGCTCTTGCCAACCTTGTCGGCGAACGGCGTCCAGTTGGTGCTGACCGACTGCGTGAACTTGTTGAACGACTCCATTGTGCTGGAAATTGATTTGAAGTAATTGCTGAGGAAAAGAGTGGAGAATGGCCAAGATTGCTCGCAAGCTTTGACAATAAGCTGAAGAATTATGCAGTCGACATCACCGCCTCATTTCTGTGCAACATGGGATGGTGCCATAACCACCGACTGGCATTGAAAAACGCCTGCGGCTCGCAGTTGAGGAACCGGCTTTTGTGAGCCGGCTCTCCGTATACCGCTTTTTTTTATTCCCAGGAATGGACTCACAGAACGAACAGCGCCGCGAGTTCCTGTACAGCAACCTGAGCAAGCAGCTGGCCCGACTCAACACAAACTTTGAGGCGCTGAACAAGAACATCTCGACCATGCGCAACCAGGCAGAGCTGACGCAGCGGCTGACCGTTTCTCAGGCGGCGATGTTCATGGGCGCCAAAGATGTATTTTATCCAGGCATCTGCGAGCAGCACCCCGAGAACCAGTGAGCTTAGCCATTCATATATGTATCTGTTAATATATCCCTTCCATTCTTGAACCGCCCACTGCAGTTGGGCATTAGGCTCTGCTGCTGTGGATCGCAGAAACGGAATGGCCAGTAGCAGGAGCCCCAAGGGGACCTACCGGGTGTTGGCCATGGCCCCAGATTTTGGCCTTGGAGCCGTAAGCGCTACTGCGCCAAAGAGTGTCTGAGGGATTAAGGTTATTTGAATCAACTGATTGTCCACTGGCGCGCCACGGCTGGAACCAGGCAAGGGCGGTGACTCGATGGCATTGGCTGCGATTGTTTACGCAAAACAGCCGGCATTGATCTCTTCCATGGGCTACCCAAGGGCTGATCAAAAGGCCTTTGGGCACTCAAGCCAAGCGGTTCCGTAAACAAGGCATCGGAGGTGGCTCATGTCTATCTCGTAGCCTGGACTTTTCCTCCCTTCCTTCCTCTCCCTCTCTGTGCTCTCTATCCTTTTATCCCCACTCCCAGCTCTCTCAATTCAGCAGAAAAATATTTCCTTTGGGTCTTTTCAATTTACATGCCGATTTGCCTTCTTCCAGCTAGTCTCTCTTGTCTCTTCCTTATTGTTTCTTGTTTACTTCTAGCCTAAACTTCCCGACATACTGGCGTGTGGGGCGCACGTTTGAAATTTGCTTTAAATCACATTATTACTTATCTTCACACACATACATCGCATCGTTCGCACCAATGTTCCAAAACAAGGTATGTCTATTTCCAAGCTAATAGTTTGGATTCTACGCGAAATCGGCCCACGGAAACTAGCAAATTTGCGTAATTGCGTGCAACACTAACCATTGACCTAACAATACCCACTATCATAGAGCTCGACGATGTCGCTGCGTTCGCGCATCCCGACCCGCCGGGCAGCAGCTGGCGCCGGCAACGAGAACAGACTTGCTGGCGGCATGTCTGCGGCGCACGCTACAGGTAAGCACACCGAGGCGACCAAGGCGAGCTTGCGGCCCCGTGCGGCGTCAACAATCGGCGCTGCATCGGGAAAGAGCCTGCATGCAGCTCAGGCCAAAACCTCTCAACGGAAAACCGACGGCGAGTGGCGCGCTCGTTCGCTCGCGTAGCGCTCTTGGAGAAGTTAGCAGCAGTGCAAAGGTATGTGTTTACTTTTTTCCTTGCCCACCGTGCCTGCTACTACGCGCATCATAACAGCAGTACCTTTTCGTGTACATGTGGGAGGGCCATTTTATCGTAAACAGATGGTCTATGCCTGCGGCTGATTTCTTAATATTTTTCTGATGCTGTATATTCCTTGGTAGGCCCTTGATAACACCACGACAAAGATTGTGAAGCCTGGAGAAATTGCTGCCCGCCTGCATACCCTGCGCACATCTACCCGGCTGGCTCGTCCCCGGACAGTCTAGCCTGCCCAAGCCGCCACTGGGCAACGGTCCGCGTGTGCGGCAGGGTGGTGGCCCCATGCGGCCCTCGACTGCTGCCCGCGGCCCTCGTCGATTGTGGGGGCGCGCCCAATAAGCAAGCCTGTCGGAACATCCAACTCGCGGCGGCTGCGCACCACCAGCTCATCGTCACTTGATGACGGACTGCCCAGCAAGCGGGTCAAGACTGATGAGGCTACACGGAACCTGGTGCCATCGGCGAGTTCTCTCTTGGGCAAGCATGGTCGCAGTGGAGTGCGCACTACCGGTCATCATGTTGCAGCAGCGACCAAGTTGATCGAGCGGGCACATTCAGAGACATATGAGGAAATTGAGGAGCTCGAGCTGGAGCCGGAGCGCGCGCGCAAAATCGGTAACTACGGTCAGCAGTACCACCGCCGCACGTACTCGTCGGATGCAGAGATGGAGTCGTGGCTACGACTGTTAACAGCAGCTCAGCGAGCCACTCGATGTGGAGACGTCCAGCGTCCAGAGCGCTGCGACCAAGACAGCCTCGCCGGCGTCGATGCTAGCCTGACGGATCTCAAGTTCGTCGATGAAGACGCTATCGACTATGCGCTGGTGCACACGGGTGAGCTGAACGAGCAGCCGATAACATGGAGGAGATCAATGGGTTTGAGGCTGATGTCGATCCGCATGACACCTCGCTGATTCCGAGTACGGCGACGACATCTTCGGATATATGCGCGAGCTCGAGGTCAAGCTGATGCCCGACCCCAACTACATGGACCGCCAGCACGCGCTGTCGTGGTCGATGCGCTCGATTCTCATCGACTGGCTGGTGCAGGTGCACGAGCGCTTCAATCTGCTGCCCGAGTCCCTCTGTCTGAGCATCAACCTCATCGACCGCTTCCTGTCTACCAAGGAGGTGACGGTCAACCGCCTGCAGCTGGTTGGCGCCGTGAGCCTTTTGCTGGCTGCCAAGTATGAGGAGACGCGGGTGCCGAGCATCTCCGACATTATATTTATGGTCGAGAATACCTACTCGGCAGATGAGATTAAGAAGGCCGAGCGCTACCTTCTGCGCACCCTCAACTTTGACCTCGGATGGCCTGGTCCTCTGTCGTACCTGCGGCGCATCTCCAAGGCTAACGACTACGACGCGGCTACGCGCACTCTGGCCAAGTACCTGGTCGAGGTTACACTGATTGACGAGCGGTTCATCGGGGTCCCGTCTTCAAAGGTTGCCGCTGTTGCGCACTACCTGTCCATGCGCTTCCTGGGCCAACGGACTGGTCGCGGGCGCACGTCTTTTACGCGGGCTACTTCGAGTCCGAGCTGCTGCCGCTGGCGCAGATCCTGGTCGACCTTCTAATGCACCCGCGGCGACACAGGTCGATTTATGAAAAGTACAGCGAGCGGCGGTATATGCACGCGTCGTCGTTCGTGTACCAGTGGTTCACACTGCACGAGCCCGACACGCTGCTCGTGCCACTGAGGACTGACCTCAAGCCTTCGAAGCCCCAGCCTGGGGACAAGAAGTCCAAGTGAGGTCATGCGCCCGGACACGCCGCAGCCCTAAAAAGGCAGCGACAGCCTCGCTTTGTAACTATTCTTTTCTTTCTTTTGCTTCAAAATTCCATTCACTTTTAAATCTCCCTCCGCAAATACTCGTATTGGCAGCAACACAAAAACCGAAAATACAACTGCTTCATTAGAGACAGCGATGTGTATATCATAACACGCTTGTTGTGTAGTCAGCTGCTTCAGCTGATCAGTCCTTTATCGGGTAGTTCAATTTCCACTCTCATAGCTGGGTTGATGTATAAAAGAACCAATTTAGCACTCTTCACATAAAAGCTTTAGTTATCACAATACTGGGCATATCTACTAGTGGTGGTGGCTGTAATCGTGATGGCCATGATGTCCGTGGCCATGAGTGCGAGTAGGGGTAGGAGTGGGAGTGGGCTCAACAGACTCGACCGAATCCATCGACCATCCATCAACATCTGGAAATAGTACAGGTGGCCATTACGTGCAGCCAACATCATCGATGCCAGCCCTATAAATGATATTGTTAAACAAAGGCCGAAGGCAGCGCAGTGACCAAGGCATCAACAAGCGCTTGTTATATGTCTCCGTAATCGCTGTCCCATGGATAACCGAGGTAACCCTTTTGTAAATAGAGGGAGCACCCGCCTTGGAGAAGAGGCATGTCTTCGTTTACAATACTAGTCACCGCCGGCCAGTGCTCAGAGATTTCTGAATACGCCTCAGGGGCATCAATGATAGGCGTAGGGAGCCACACAAAGCTTGATTGCGCACTGCTTTTATCGGGAGTGCCAGTAGGCCGTGTTCTGTGGGAAGTTGTTGGTTGGAGACTGTGACGCCTGAGACGCCGGCCGCGGGTCAGGACATTGTTCATCATGGCGTCGGGCATGACATAGGCAATCGCCATGACAAAGGTAGGCTCGTACGTCTGAGTGATTGCTGGGCCACGGAAGATCGATGTCAGGCGGGCATAGATTGATGGCTGGCCAGCTTGGAGGACTGGCATGTCGCCATTGATAACACTGGTGTAGCCGTTCCAGTGAGATGAGACTGAATTCAATGCGTCTAGCTCAGCAGCCGCGAGCGTAGCCAGGGCAGCAGCGATGGAGGCAGAGACGAATTTCATGGCTGTTCTTATGGTGCGTTGAGAGGTAACTCTAGTGAAGCAGACAAAGTAGGGTTATTCTTGGTGTCTTGAGTTGTGGATAGTAGAATAAACCACCGTGTATGGCTGAGTATCCTGACTATTTATATGCACACCCACAGTGTGGCACTGTCTTTCGCTGGCATGTGTATTAACGGAGAATGAGCTTCAACAATGGATTTGTTCCTTTTCACACGTTGCCTGGCCATTTTTTTGGATTATCACACGCGTTCCGTGCTGAATGTTCGAACTCGGAGTCCCGCAGCACTGGCTGGCTATGTCCTTGAGGAAACTGAAAGCTGATCTCCAATCACTCATGCACAACAGGAAATCAAGACAGGTACTGGCACTACACCTGGCCACATTTCATCTCATCTCTTTTAGCAAAGTTTTGGCATACATAACTGCCACACCAATCAGCACGAATTTCACTCGCGGGATTCAGCAAGCATCTAGTAGTTGGATTATCGGCAGAGATGCAGTATGTCTGGCGTTCTGCAGCGTCTGTCTTGGCGCAGATTCGAGATATAATCCTGAATAATGCTGTTTCTGGCCAGATGGGCATGCTAAGTTTCAACCGACACCATATCAAACCCTGGTTAGTTGGAAGCAGACCGTTGCTGCAGCCCAGGTAGGAAGGCAGTGTGTTGGGCAGGACAGCAGTAGAGTTATACATGTTTCCAAAGACCTTCAAATGGTTGCTAGTGGTAGCAAGCGGTATGCAGTTCTTGGTTCACACACACCAGCGATGGCTATTGCTCATGGTCATGTTGCCAAGCTTGCAGGATTTTCAATCAAGTGTGCAATGAGGAAATCAATGCATGAATTGACAGCCACATAGCTCGTGATAAGTGCCCGAATAATCTGTGAAGAGAACATCTTGGCGTATGCGCATGTCATATCGTGCCAAGAAACCAGCATATCTCTGGGGTGAAGCACTTCGCTGGTTTCCAGAAAAGCGAGTGAATTTATCTCACACTTGCTCTGCTTTGGCGTAAAATCAACAGCTGTCTTTAGAACGCTACATTATCACGCACCTTTCCATGGCTTGTTCTTGACAACTAGCTCTTGGCAATGATGATCACGGATATCCGAAATGGGGGACACGGCATATATACAGGCCAAGAAATGCAAATGTGGCGATGAATTAACAAGGATTATTGCAAAGGGGTAGGCATGGGAAAGGCACGTGGTCCTTGTCGGGTTCGAAACCACAGCTGCCTTCAGTAAAGCGACAGGTGCACCTAATTGCGAGTGGCTACATTGACTGTGTTTTGCGTGTTGTATTCGAGTCAGACACGGAAATACGGACTGGTCATTAACTAATGGATTCGGCGTTAAAGGTCGTTAAATAATGTCCACTTTGCCACACAAAATCACTCACTGCATGATTGCGTCGATCGGTGTGGCAGTCGGTGTGCAGCCGGCGTGGCAGTCGGTGCAGAGCTAGTGGGACCAGGCGTAGGGGTCGGCACAGATGCAGGTGCAGACGAGGTGCCATTGTAGGCGAGCCTCCAACAAAGCTGTGGTTGCTGACGGTGACGCCAGTGATTTGCGCACGCATCAGCATATTGTTAATCAGTGGGTCGGGCATCGCGTGGCCATCTGCACAACCACAGTCTCCGCGTACGTCGGCGGAATCGTGGTTGCATGGAAAATCTGCGTCAGACTGCTGTAGATGGTTGGCCTTGGGGCGTTGCTGAGCCAGGGCATGGCGTTGTTGACTACGCTTGCAAAGTCGTTCCAGTGGGCAGAGATAGAGTTCAGCGCATCCTGTTGCGCAGTGGCGGTGAGGGCGAGTGTGTGAGGGCGAAGGCAGATGTGAACTTCATGATTTCTAATAGGTCGTTATGCAAAGAGGAAGATGCTGATCGAGAGGAATGGATGAGAGAAAGGAGAGTTGGTGGACGCTGGAGCTGAGCGCGTTGGAGCGAACCCCCCTGCTTATAGCGGCATTTTTGTGTTTCTGATCTTCGCTCTCGCCGTTTAAAGGGAAGCAAAAATGGGCTACAGTGGAGACCGCTATAGGATGCTGGCGGTTTATTGACGGTCCCGATTCCGCTCTTTAAAATTCCATAAATAAGCGGGGGGCTATAAAAATCTTTGCACGAATCCTCGTGCAATGAAGTGACGTCTGCAAGAAATTTTTTACAGTCGGTTGCCAGAAAGCCAAACAAACAATCCTGGCACCAATGGACCCCAGCAGAGCGCCTTGGCAGAGAAAAGAATGCTGCGCCTCCAGCACCCTCCCTTTTGCGACGAGTGTATAGGTAAACTACAGATGGAACTGTATTGGCAGGTGGGCCACATGCACGCCTCTGTGCTCCATACCATAAAAAGCCAGGGAAGGCGGCAGCGAGCTATGGCAGATCAACAGGCATTTGATTGCAGGCAAGTTGGGCTCAGTGCTGCCGATTATAGCAGCCAATATGTTGGCACACGCAGCACACTGCCACGTGAGTGGTACTGGAACCGTCACATCTAGCAACAGGTGCGCTAGCGTCAACTGCCACCTATCACTTCTTCCTTTCTGGCTATTGCATTTCTTGCTCAGCTACTCTTGTACTGTTTTCTCTTTCATTTACAAATGGGGCCAGGCTGTAGCATTGTCTTTCGGCCGTTCTAGCGTGCACCGGTGTCAGCGGGAGTGGGGCGGCCCGTCGTCGTTCAACCCGGGGTTTTCCTCATGAAACTGCTGTCATACCCGCAGGTACGAAATAAATTTTTTGGAAGACCTGTTGCCTGCGTCCAGCTGCAAAAAACGCCATCGAAGGACGCGCAAAAAACGAAGCGGTGAAGGGCCCCCATGGCAAACGACTGTCGCCGACAAGGCGCCTGACACGAGGAGCATAATCTACGAGGCCCGATCGGGGCTGAAGGCAACCAAGAAATGGAAGTTCTGTGTCGGGTCCCACAGGTGGATTCAGAGAAGTGGCGAGTGAGGAAGCGGGAGCGCGGAGGAATACAGCTGTCCCCACAGGCGTTGAATGTCGCGGAAGTTGAGCGACAATCGATTAGCGCGGATTGCAGCTGCTGGACCAATGAAAGCCTGGGTGTCTGAATACGTCGAGGTTGGTGGATCATTCGAGTACTGCATGATCGGTCGGTCCAGCCAGGTTCCATCGGATCGAGCGGCGGAGCCGAGAACGAGTACGAGCTGATCAAGTATCGGCTGGGCGATCCGAGCACAGCGCAAGCACATTGGGGCTGCCGAGTGCCAAATGGGCAGAGCACTGACGGCGAAACCGAGATACGCGAATCAACGCAAGTAAAGCGAGAGTGGGGCGGAAACGTTCTTGAACGCAGACATGGGGCCCGGAGGCAAGTGTTTGCGAGATTACAGACGCCCCCAGGGAAATTGAGGTGCAGTTCCCACTGCGATCCGAACATGCCTGAGCGCATTTCGCACATTAAGGAGACATCGACGTGCCAGTACTTCATGGTGGTGACGACGCCCGCGGCTGTGCGAGGATGCGAGCTTTTTTGACCCGGCAGCATCGACAGTATATAACATCACTTGCCAGCAGGTCGTAGGCGACAAGGAGTTACCACGAGATCATTGCTCAGAAGGTATCGCTGCCTGAGGCGGTCGAGGAGCAGGAGCACCCGGTAGAAACAGGCACCCAAGGACCCGGAACACAGCTCAAAGGAGAGTGCAGGGGAGAAGGAGGAGAGTGGCCCCGCCACAGCTGACACCAAGGCCACGGCCAAGCCAAAGGAAAATGCGGAAGAAGACTGCGAAGAAGGCAGCAGCGGAGCCAGAACTCATCACGATCGACCTGTCTGACCCGGAACAAGTGCAGCTGATGAGGGAGCGCGATGAGGAAGTCCGCCAAATCCTGGCGCAGCTGCTTGGGGACGAGACTCTGCAGAAGCTTCTGCCCAAGACATTTGAAAGAATCATCCAACCGAAAGCAGCTGACGCAGGATCTGGGAGAAGGACGCGGGCGCCAGACGAGGGCGGAATTCCACAACAGAAGCGGGGCGCCCTGAGGCTGTGCGCAGGCACGACGAATTGTAGGGCATCCTTGTCAACTGTGGTCAGGCTTTCTTAATGCGAATCTTCGTGGTTTCCAAATTTGGCCGGTGTCACTTTCCGCGTTGCTGGAGTGTTGATTTCCTGTTGAAAAATATTGCAATAATGGCCCAAACGAAGCGATTTGTGCGCCCCAGCCGCGGCTCTGGGGCAGGCTTAAAAGACGGTGTAGCTTGAACTCCTCTCGAAAGCCGAGAGACCCGTCTAACCCTCGCCTCATTTCTATTTTTCTTCTAGATATCTTTTTCTACACAGGAAACTATGCGTAAGCTATTTTTACTCCTTGCCCTTATCTGCCTTCTTTCTGACCACTGCTCAAGCCAAGGGCGGAGGTGGTGGTGGAAAAGGCGGTGGCGGAGGTGGTGGTGGAAAGGGTGGTGGCGGCGGTGGTAGCAAGGGCGGTGGTAGCAGTAGTGGTAGCAAAGGCAGTAGTGGTAGCTCTAGCAGCAGTAAAGGCATTGCCGGTGGCGGTGGCTCCTCCGGCAAGGGCTCTGGCGCATATGGTGACAAACCACCCAGCTACGCGTCTCTCTACCGAATGCTCCGCCCGGCTACAGTGCCGGCGGACGTGGAATCGGTGCTGGCGACGCATCCCGGCCGTATACTCCCCCCGCCATCGTACGCAGCCTCAGCCAACTATGCTTCCAGTGAACCGCGGTCAGACAGTCCAGCCACAGTCCATCAAGGGTGGCGCGCCGTCAGTGTACTATGCGGCGGCGTCCAGGAGCTCGTATCCAGGAGCATGGGGATACGGCTATTATCCTATCTATCCCTACCCGTGGTGGGCATACGGTGCCGGTGGGTTTATTGGCGCATCGTATGTGAGCCACTCTTACAACCACGGTGTGCACAACTACAAGAGCGAGTTTCCGCAACATGACCGTGGTCAATGCCACAAACACGCCTTTGGTTGGTGACCAGGACATCTTCAACAACGGCCACAACATTACGTTCGTGGACTTCAACAACGGCACCATCAGCATTGCCCCTTGCGGCAATTCCTCGAGCACATCACTCGATGTTTCTTCCTCGGACTGCGACGTGATCCTGCTGGACCTACGGAAATGGAACGGTGCTGCGCGGCCAATGCAAAGACCAGCGTGGAGAAGGACATTACGTTCTTTACGCTGAACCTCGGCAGCAAAAGCACTGTGCTGCGGACGCAGACGATTTCGAGCACGCAAAAGAAAAGCCGCGGCGGTGTCATTGCTGGCATCGTCATTGGATCCATTGCGGGATTTGCGCTTTATCGTCGGCCTCGTGTGGTGGGCTGTCCAGGCGGAACAAGAAGAAGAAGGCTGCTGCGGCTGTTGCTGCCAACCTGGGCACTGTTCAATACTAATATTTCTCTATTCCATTTATTATTTGCGATTCTGTTAATGTATTCCCAACTATCTATCTCAGAACGAAATCACCAGGTGGTCGCCCTGTCCTCAACCCGGACGTTTGCAAAATCTTGAATCACATACTTCGCACCGGCGTCCTTCAGTGCCTGCTCAGGCGTCGACGTCAGCACTCCCACGACTGTAGCGCCTGCGGCATGCCCGGCTTTGGTGCCGTTAACGGCGTCCTCAAACACCAATGCCTCGCTCGGCTCAATGCCCAGTACCTTGGCACCCATCTGGTAGCATTGCGGATCGGGCTTTCCCCTGGCGACGTTCTTTGCAGAGACCATCTCGGCAGGCACAGGCAAGTCCACCTGTCCCAATCGGCACAGCGCCAGGTCCTCGGTGGCAGCGGTCACAATAGTCCATTTCTTCGGGTCCAGAGATGCTAGCAGCTGAGGAACCCCCGCACAGCGAAAACACCGTCGGCGTCGTGCATGATCTCCGATTCAAAGAGCCTGGCGCCCTCAGGGTTGTGGAACTCTGCAGGGAACCAGGTCTTGAGAACATCTAGGGTAGGGAAGCCATGAATGCGGCTCAAAAGCTCGTCGGCGTTGATGTTGTATTGGACGGCCTTGTGGCGCCAAAAGCGCTCGACGCAGTCAATGGTGTTTGACCAGCGTGCCATCCATATCGAACAGGATGCCCTTTGCGATGATTTCGACCATGATGAGCGATAGTTAAGTGTGTATTGCTTGACGTAAAGAAGAGGGAAATGGGGGCTCGAGGATCGTGGCCCAGCCGCATCTGAATTATATCGTGAGTGTTTCCGGAGTGGGGACAAAAACAGCAACCAGGAGCTGCTGTGCTACGCGGCATTCAGCTGAGAGAAGATCGCCTGAGCTCGTGCTGAAATTTGTCAGCATACGTGACACTTTCATTCCCTGAGAACAATGGACAAATGCGTTGTGTGATCTGTGATGTCTACTTTCGTAAAATCATCGACGATGTGCTGGGCGCCGGCTTCCGCCAGCCTCTCTCGTGTCGTCGATGTTGTCAGCGCAATCACCGTGGCACCCGCTGCAAGCGCTGCCTTGACGCCATTGACAGCATCCTCAAACACCACAACGTCCTTTCCCTCCAGCCCCAGCGCTTTGGCACCGGCCAGGTACCCCTCGGGGTGGGGCTTCCCCTTGGTTACATCAGCAGCAGCTATCAGAAGCTTGGGTTCCGGCAGACCGACCTGTCCCAGGCGCGCCAGTGCCCACATGCGCGAGGCTGCAGTCACCACAGCCCACCGTTCCGGCGATACAGCAGTGACAGCAGGGTGGACACCTGGCACTGGGTAGACGCCCTCGGTAATGTTGACGAACTCGTTCTCAAAGTTGTCGGCAAACTGTTTGCTATGGCACTCGGGCGGGAAGAACGTGCGCAGCGTGTCGAGGCATGTGCGCCCATGCATATGCTTGATCAGCTCATCACCGTCTACGCCGTACTTGGCCGCCTTCTGCTTCCATGCGTTCTCGACGCACTCAGTAGTGTCGACGAGTGTGCCGTCCATGTCGTAGAGAATACCCTTGGCTGTTAGAAGTGTCGGCATATTGGCGAGTCAGTATACGGAAGGTGAGGGTCAATAGGACTGATATGCTGGTTGAGGAGCTGCGCAGATAGTGAGTCAAAATGCGTTCTCTTTAAGCATTTCCCAGAGACGCATCCCCTCGCCCTGTGCCTGAGCCAATGCAACCACAATGTGGAGTAGAAGCACCAAATAGGAATCGAGGAACTGCGGTTGCGTGTGCGGATTCGGTAGGGCCGAAGCCCGAAAAATTGGCCAAGATTACCCCGCATCCTAAAAATACAATCGAATGGTTTTTTTTTACTCCTTGTTCGTAGAAAGTTGAGTTTAACCTGGTGATAAACAGCCGATGCCTATGCCATCTCTCTACATCAGTGAGCAGCTAGCCAATAGCGCCACAGCCAGTGCCAGCACAGACGCTGCAGGTGCCGCCACGCCTGATGTCTTTGTGTCCTTTGTGTGTGTAGAGTGCGAGCGCGACTCGGTGTCTGACTTGCTCGTTGTGGTTTCGTGTGTGGCTCTGAGGGTCTTGGAATCGACGGTTGCTTCAGGACTAGACACGGTGGTGTGTGGCGCAGATACCTCGTTGCTGAAGCGGATCGGCGTCAGAGATCCGGCAGTCGGGGCCTGTGCGTGGCTGGTGGCCAGAAGTGCGAGCAGAGGGATGTACTTGAACGAGTGCATGATTTTCAGATGCAAATCGAAAGTGCCCAATGGATGACAGAACGAAACTCTGCGAAATGCGGTGCTGCTGGGCTGCTTTCGGCAGTGCGCTTTTATATGTGCTTGTCCAGCGTACAAGCTATGCCCCCATGACCACATTTTTTTATCAAAGCAACGATGCATCTCTGCATGAGGCAAAAATGACCTCACCACAAAAATAGGCATTGTTCCTTATACGTAACTGCTGCGAAATTGCGTGCAAATGCCTGGCTCTACTTGTTTCCTGACAAGATGCATCCTGGCCAAGAAACAGCACTGCGCATGACATCATAGACACATTACACCCGAACTGGACATGTAATCGAGAGAACAACGGTACTTTGCGTATTCTGAAGATAGATAACTTGACTAGAGTGCCCACACTAGTGTGCCAGACCTGGATAGTCGTCGTGGTCGTTTGCTGTCAGCTGGAAGTAGAGGACACTGTTCTCGCAGTCACGACTTTCGCCATTGGCGCCGCAAAACTTTGTTCCGCCCGATGGCTGATACCATACCTCCTGGCTGTGATGCTTGTAGTCGATAGTGGTAAGAAGAAGGCGGGGAACCAAGTCGCGGTGGTACACAACGCGATAGATCGGGAACTCCTTGTTTTGGATCCAGCTCGCAAATGCACCGTTACCAGTCCGCGGCTGGCCGTATGTGTACAGCTGCACGCGATTAGTCAGAATTGGGAACATAGTCACAAAATCGGCAGCATTGATTGCAGCCAGCGAGCCACCGAGCGAATGACCGGTAAACACGATGTTGTATGCTGGGTACCTGTTTGCCAGAGTCAGGATTGCGTTATTTACAGCAGATGCGGTCGCTTGGTAGGCCTTTATGAACCCTGTATGCACCTCGGAGCCGGACACATTCGATGGCCATCTAGACTTGGCGAAATTGAGATTCGTCATCCAGTCAAAGAATGAGTGGCTACCGCGATACCCAACAACGATCTCCTTGTTGTTGTCGTTATATGCGACATACCCTATGCTGGCTTTGACCGCATTCTCCCAGCGGTAGTACACAACAGTGCCAGCGGTTGCTGCTGTCTGACAAGCAATTGCGCAATCCCACGAGTTGTTTTTCACAGTAGCAGCTGCACCTGCATAGTTTGCATACTTGACAAGGTTAGCTGAGCTTGTGGTGGTCAGGACCTGCGCACGCTTCGAGTTGGCATTGTGCAAATCCGCCAGATGATGCTTGGTCCCATTGGCCTTGATTTCACGATATATGGTGTCCAGTTTCTCCGCAAGTGATGGGTCCACAAGTCGGTGCTCGTTGGTCTGGTAGGTGGCCTTGCTTTGCGTGGGTATGGCAGAGACACATGCAGCAATTGCACCGAGTGTGAGGAGAATAGTGGCAGCAAACTTCATTAACGTAGTGGCCAACAGTAAGAGCGACGGATCGTAAAGAGTCAAAGGGAGAGAGGTGAAGAACAGACGCTGTTGCTGCTGATAGCAACGTCCGAGTATACCTTTGGTGCATTTTATAGCCATGAGGTATCTGGCTTGTACCGAGCCAAGAAAAGCATATTCGACTGGGAAGTTCTGAATGCCAATACATCCTTTGTGATGCTGCAAAGGGACTGTGGATCGCAATTTGGCCACCCATCAAGATTTGCGCGGGTGCAAGCTGGCTTGCAGCATGGGCGACGGCTACAGACTGGTTGCTAATGGACCTATTAACCCAGATGGCATCAGCCCTTTAAAACCCCGTACCAAGCTGTAGATCGTTGCGATTTTCTCTGGACATCGTCTCTGGGCATTTCTAAAAATATATCTGGATTGTGGTATCGCCGATAATCATGCTTCTAGGAACAGACAGAGGCCATTGCCATGCATACAAGCTGCTGCTTCACCACAGGAGGGGGTACCATAGTTCCTGATTCGTGCTCCTCGGCCCACCGCTCGCCTGATTCACAAACCTGAAGGTATGCCAATATATCGTGCCGATTTCCAAGTGATGTGCTGTTTACATTTTTGATGGTACGTATGTTGCAAATCACTCCTTTGCAATTTTGAATACCTTCAATAAAAAGTGTGAATTCCCAGGAAATTGTTGCATGTTGTCCTCTACCACACTGCAAGAATCTCAGTCAACATTTTGCTCCCCTCTCCTGTTTTCAGGCAGATCGTCCTACATGTCCAATGAACTGAAAAGATATTTGAAGAAAAATGGGGGATAAGTTAATGTATTTGTTAACCTTGAGGATAGAACGAATGTTTACGACTGTGTATGTGAGCTAATAAAGGATAAAACGGTATTTACTGAAGGGAAAGGGGAAAGATCCGGTCGGTCTGAGGCCTGATTCCATGTGGTTTAGTCGCTGGAATGGTAGCGCAGGAGTGGTTCGGCACTCCAATGTCAACAGTATTGAACTATATCCAAAGTATACAGACTTGGTCCTAGTGTGCGATTCCAGGGTATCCATCATGATCATTGGATGTCAAGGATAGCCCAAATACTCCATACTCGCAATCAGGGTTCTCGCCATTAGCGCCACAGAATACAATGCCGTCTGAGGGCTTGTACCAGACCTCTTGACTGTGATGCCAGTAATCGAATATAGTAAATGGGAGCTGGGGAACCAAGTCGCGATGGAACACAACACGATATATCGAGAACCCCTTGTCTTGGACCCAGCTGGCAAAGGCGCGGTTGCCAGTACGTGGCTGGCCGTATGTGTATAGGTGGATTCGACTGATCAGAGCTGGGTACTTTGTGGCGAAATCGGCAGCATTGATGGCAGCCAGCGAGCTACCGAGCGAATGACCGGTAAACACGATGTTGTATGCTGGGTACCTGTTTGCCAGAGTCAGGGTTGCGTTATTTACGGCAGATGCGGTCGCTTGGTAGGCCTTTATGAACCCTGTATGCACCTCGGAGCCGGACACATTCGATGGCCATCTAGACTTGGCGAAATTTAGATTCGTCATCAAGTCAAAGAACGAGTGGCTGCCGCGGTACCCAACAACGATCTCCTTGTTGTTGTCGTTATATGCGACGTATCCTATGCTGGCTTTGACCACATTCTCCCAGCGGTAATAAATAACTGTGCCAGCGGTTGCTGTTGTTTGGCAAGCTATCGCGCATGTCCACAAGCTGCTGTTCACATTATAGGCGGCAGCAGCATAATTTGCATACTTGACAAGGTTAGCTGAAGAGGTGGTAGACAGAATCTGGGCTCGCAACAATGCGCCGTTCTTGCTTGCAGTACCTTCCGTGGCATTGTACTTTGCTGCTATTTGGTGGAACAATGCGTCCAGCTGAGGGACCATGGTCGAATTAACTAACCGATTGCTGTCGATGGTAACACCAGGCTCTTCCTCAGCTGGAAATGCAGAGGTATATGCAGCAAAAATGCTGAGAGCAAAATGGATGGTTGTTTTGAGCAGCATTATTTGAGGGCGGCTTCTATCGGCAATAAATGAGTAAAATAGGCAAAGTTTAAATGATTGAAAGCAGGTAGGAAGCGAAAGGTGTGGGGCTGGCTGGTGCACGCTATTTATTATGAATTAACGATGGTATATTCTACGTGTTCTGGCCCCTTCAACAGGATAATGATCTGAAGCTCGTGGTTTTTCAGTTTGCTAAAGCCGCGCGCTGCCCTTTTTTTTTTGAATATTTCGCTGCTGTGCGGTATCTGAGTGCACCAGCGAAACTAGGGCAACAAACTATGATTGTAGTGGTCACTGGGCTCTGCTGGATGCCTCCATTGGTTCAGCGTAAGAGCTGCTCTCATTGTCGGTCGACTTGACAAATGCCATGGAATCATCATGATGGCCATCATCGGCCACGTAACAGCATGATGTGACATATGTGCATATACTTTATTCAGCTATTTATATATTCAAAACGAGTGGCTTCTACAACGCATCCTTGCTGATGAGCTTATGCTTAATCAGCAGCGACAGCGGGACGGCAGCGCAAGCGAATATGACACCGGCAATGAACGTCGAGTGCATCGCCTGCACATTAGCATGGATAACTGCATCGCGCACGGTCGCTGAAATCTCTGGCAGCCTGATGACCTGGATATTGTCAGCCGACATCAGGATGTACTTGCTATAGATGACATGCTGCAGTGCGACGGTTGCCAGCTTGGCAATCAGAACGGCTTCGTTGATAATGCTATACAGAGCAATGCCAATTGCCGCGCCAAAGAACTGGAATAAAAACAGCGATGACGTAGCAGCTGCCATGTCGGCCGCATCCATAGCCGACTGGATGCAGGTAACGTGGGTGGGCATGGTGAAACCGGCACCAATGCCCAGGATGATCAGGAACCCGATCTGCGCACCATTGGAAATACTCTCCTTGTATTCCAGCATTAGCCCGTTGCCGACCGTCAGCAATACAGCAGAGACGGCAATCTGGAACTTGTACTCTCCGGTAAAGCTCGTGCTGACTCCGGACGCAATAGAGGTGGCCATGGCGGCCAGCATAAACGCAATGAGGTGCGATCCAGCAGTTGCGGGCGACTCGTTTTTTAACGATTTCTGACCACTTGGCAACATAAAATACCGGGCAGTAAATGGCAATACCAATGAACGGTTGCATAGCAACAATAATACGTGCATTAGTAGACCGAAGCAGGCCGGCGGGGAAGATCGGGTCTTTGGCGAATTTCGCCTCATAATAGCCAAAGGCACCGAAGAGGACGGCAGCAAGGATCAAGAGCGCAATGACCACGCCTGAGGACCACGCGTAGAGGTCGCCGCCGTAGTTCAGTGCCAGGACCAAAGCCGTCACACAGCCGGCCATCAGAACCATGCCGACATAATCCACATGCCACAAATTCGCTGACCTAGCCGGCGTTGCCGCCCCCATTGCCAGGTAGGCAAGAGCCAGGGCGAATACAAGAATAAAAGCATTCATGTAGAACAACCAGCGCCAATTGTGGCGTAAAAGATTCCCAGCAACTGCAGGGCCAGCGCCTATTCCCAGCGCCCACGCAGCCCCGAGCACACCAAGAAGTCGCGTGCGCTGCCGCGGCCTGGCAAGGTCAGAGGCAATAATGACAGTGAGGGTGAATAGTCCGCCGCCGCCGATCCCCGCCACCGCGCGACCTGCCAGCATGGTGTTCATTTTGCCGGCAGCTCCGCAGATGATCGAGCCAACAAGGAACAGCGTGCTGAATCCGACCAGCGGCCAGCGGCGCCCGAATACGTCCGAGAGCTTTCCGACCGACGGAATGATTGCCGTGAATGCCACCAGGTAGGTCGTGGTGATCCAAGAGTCAAGACTTTGGTTGTGGAGCTTGTAGCCGAGCTTGGCTGTGATTGAGGTGACTGATGTCAGCGACAGACAGCTGAGGAACATCAGCATTGCCAGTGCGCTGAGAACCGCTAGCTTCCGCGGCACAGTCTGCTGGGCGCTGTGGGGAGGCGGATCCAGGGATTTCGCTATGGGTCTGACATCGCTTGAGGAGCTTGCAGAGGTGTCCATGCTTATATATATGTAGTATTGCCAACAGAGATAGAAGAGGGGAGAGACGTTTGACTGCTATTTCTTAGGGTCCGTAGATGGAAGGGGCGGAGGACCCAGCACTATATACGCGTCTACCTGGCTTTATTTCCCATGGCTTGACACCGTTTCTCTTCCGAATGGCACACCTGCAACTGTCCAAAACGGCAAATGCATGGCTGTGGCGACGACCATTGTCATTACCTCACTCTCTACCCAGGAGGTTGCGCGCTTTTTTGCTCCGAACCTGGACCCGCCCTGGCCAGGATTAGATCGCGTGGTGATCACGATCACTGGAGGAGGAGAAAAATAAAACTCGACAAAAGCCGACAGTTTCACTTCTTCGCTCTTGGACTTTTAGCGCCAGCTCTTCCACCCACTTTGCCATTTATTCAAGCATACATTACAAATAGAATGAGCTCGAGCTTGCCCAGCATCGACGCAGTGCTGGCCCAGACAGGGATCGGATCGACAGAGGACCTGACACGGGCACTGCGCGGGGCCTTGCCTCTGCAGCACCGGCTAGCTTTAGCGTGGGCGATATTCGATGATAGCAGCAAAGCTTTGCAGCGGGTCAGCTCAGTGCTTGTACGGCGCAACGAGCTGCTGGCAGACTGGCTTTTTTCAACAATGCTTCGGGAGCTGAAGGCAAAGGGCAAGGACCAGTACAGAATATGCGGAGATGTGGCCGCGATCCGGCTTTTGCTTGGCGTGCTGGAGCGCATCAACAAGACGATGCCCGGAGACATGAAGCTGGAAACGCGCACGGTCTTGCCGGGCCCTCTGATGCCCCTGTTTGCTGCGTCATTGGCGGGACAGCTGGGGAAGGAGCAGGAGGCGCAGGTGGAGGCAGTTGCGGATCTGTGGCAGTATATCGTCGGATCGACTATGGACGGCGCAGAGGCACTGGCAGCACAGCCCGATCAGCTCGCGCAGCTGCTGAAATCTCTGACAGAGCACTGCCTAAATACAGAGAGCGAGAAGCTGCGGGGAGATCTTTTGCGGCTCATGGAATCTGCAGCCGGAGTTCTGCAGAGCGTGTGCGAAACGACAACGAATGCGCGCAAAATGTTCTCGATGTTCGACCAGGGCCTGCTGGTGCCGCTATTGCAGCTAGTAGGCGGACTGGGAGAGTCATCGGCCAAACAGTGCTTGCTGGACCTACTCCAGGTGTCGCTGTTTCACGCCGACTGCATGGGGGAGTTTGCGACAGCGCTGCAGGAGCACGCGGAAAAAGGAGCCATGGGCAGTCGCAGCTATGTCAAGCAGTTCTTCGACCTGGTGGCCTCCCCTGAGTGCATGGATGCGCTGCCCGATCTCTTTACGCGCTACCTCCGTGCGTCGGCGCTGGTGTGCCCGGAGACCCGCAGCATGGCCAATACGACACTGGGGCTGGCAGCAGTATCAGCGAGCCCATTGAGCATGACGCAGGAAGCGGCCAGCAGCGCATGCGTACAGATGTTTACATACGTTTACCATGTGTGTTTGCCGAGGCGATCGGAGGTGCGTGGCATGGGGGCGACTAACCGGCTGATCAACGCTTATTACAGCGACCGGTGCTTTGGTACAGCCAACAACGCCAGCATAGTCAGCCGCGACGTGTTCCGCAAACAGATCGAGATGCTTGAGGCATGGCTGGCTGAGGTGGTGACGCCGATTCTCACCCGCCCGCCCAGCGACCCAGAGATGACACGGCTGGCCCTGGACGCCATCGACATTGCGCTAGACGCGGCCCCAGATTCTGTGCAGGAGCATAGCAGCCAGATCGTGGCGGCGTTTGCGCGTGTGCCGCCAGCTATCGAGGATGCAGCGAATAATGTTCTGGAGCACATGGTGACGACATTCACCAAGGCGCGGCAGCTGGATGTGCTGGTCCAGCGAATTGCCGGTACTGAGTTCTACGAGAGTTCCGACTGCCACAATATGCTAGTCTCGGAGCCGTTCATCAAGTCGTTGAATCTGGCAGTATCCCGGTCGATGCCGTTTGCGCAGGCACACGAGTGCCTGGCGGTGCTAGTGGACGTGGTTTCGCAGGCAGCCAAGACAAAGGAGAGCGCAAAGAGCACGAAACGGCGACGCACCAGCAAGGGTGCTACAGAATCCAGCAGCCCAAACATTTACCAGACACAGGTGGTATGTGTTGTAGCTGCCAACTTCCTGCTTGCCAGTGTGTCATCGGTCAATACCGAGCACCAGCGCGGGTTGTTGCGCGAAGCGCTGGCCAAGCATTACGCAGCTGTCTCAGAATCCCTAGCAGATCGTAGTGAGTTGGTGTGCGAATATTTGGTTATGCACTATGCGTTTATGGAGGCAGCTTCGCGGATCGACGGCATGGAGAGGTGGATGGAGGTCAGCATGGATCCAGGCCATGTGTCCGCCATGCTGCCCAGCGACATGACAGGCGCCCGTGTCCGTGCCCTGGCGATGCTGGTTGTTCTGCAGGCGGCTGCCCACTGGTCGGTGTTCATGTCGTCGCTGAGCGCCGGGATTGTGCCAGGCGATGTTGCTGCCCAGATTGATACTGAAGAGGGGTCCAAGGCCGTGACCAGCATGATTGCAAGAATCTTCGCTAGCGCCGAATTTGGTACTGGCAACGCAGGCCAGTGGGACCGGCAGCCGCACACGATCACCGAGGCGAACAGCGGCACCGTGCAGTGGTACCTGCTGGTGGACTGGCTGGAGCTGGTCTGCCAGCTCGCCGACCAGACAGTCATCCAGCGCATTACATCGCGGATCATCGCTGAGATCGCCTTGCCAGCCGAAACCAATTGCTCAAAGGCGCTGCTCAGTTCGGCAGCGTTTTTCGAAGCGCACGAGATCCGCAGCTGCTTTGTGCCTGCGTTGGCCGAGTTCGTAGCCGAGCAGTTCCCCAAGCAGCCAAATGAGCTGAAGTCGCTGCTGGTGACTCTTGCCGGAAATATCGGAACCAAGTCTAAATGCGCACAGACTGCCAGCGACATTATATCGGCCGCCAGCAACTCTCGTGCCAAGAGGAGTGAGGAGTCGGCGGAGGTGTGGGTCGAGCTTGTTCGCTCCCTGCTGCGCTTCCCAGACGCCTACTGGTTTGCCGATAAAACTCCGGCCTTGTTTGCAGTGCTGCTGGCCATTGACCAGGGTGTGGCGTGCGAAGCTGCCACGGTGGAGCTGCGGGTCCTGTGCAGGGCGCTGCTCGAGCGACTCATTCGGACGTCATCAGGCCTGGTGCCGCTTCTCACGCAGCATGCAGCTGGCTTGGTGAGCCTGTGGATGGCAGAGGAGCAAACGTCTGAGGAACTGCTGGTCGCGTCGCGTCGCTTGCTGTTTGTTGCCATGGGGTCTCTGGCCCAGGCTGCGTTTGGCCAGGCGAATCTGGCGGCCAACAAGGCCTGTGTGAGTATCGCCAAGACTCTGCTTGGTGAATCGGGCTCTCTGGCTGCCGAGGGCGTGCGTGCCATTGCAGGCTGCGCAAAGCAGTATGCGAAGAAGCTACAGAAATGCGAATTCGCCGAGAAGTGGGCCAAGGTTTCAGCCAAGTGTATCAAGAAGCAGTCCAAGGCTGTTCTCAAGGGTCTCGCTGGCATCGACAAGGCCGACGATACTGAGATGACAGCTGCGCTCGGCCGGCTTGCGGCGGCACAGATAATCAGCGAGTCGGCAACCGGCGAGGCTGCAGACCGGGCTGCACTTGTCGCGGCAACGCTCGATTCGCTGAGCCGCCTGTCGGCAGCCACTACCAGCGAATTTGCGCTGGCGCTAGTCTTCTATGCTTGCCATACGTCAGCTGTGTCCAACGCCGACACACTCCGCCTGCTTGCATCCATGACCCACCGGCTCGCCCACACCAAAGACCATCCCCTGTCGCTGATGCAGCAGTCGTTCATTGCGCTAATCTCTGAGGCCGATGGCTTGCTTGCAATCTCGCTGTCTGATGCCGTAGCGCAGTATGCTGTTGAGCCACTGCTCCGACAGATCAGCTCTGCGGCATTCGAGCAGTCCCTTGTCGCCTTTTTGAAGATTGCACAGCAGCCGCATAGCGGCGCTGCGGTGCGCAAGGTCCTGGTGGCCTTTATCCGCACGGCCTACAGGCAGTCTGGAAACGAGTCGGTCGAGAAGCGCAAGGCGGTGCAGCGCCGGCTCGGCAGCATTCTGTCAATCATCAGCAGTGGTGTTGGCTCGGATGCCGCGTCGGTCATTGCGTCGTTGGGTGTGGTCAGCGAGCTTGTGCTGGAGCCGTTCATGCGCTTCACCATGTTTGACATCAGCGAGTGCCTGGCGTTTGTTTCCTCGGTCGTGTCTGTGCCACTGGTGATGGCCAATACGCAGGCCGAGGACCTGTTCCGGCTGGTGTGCCGGGTGCTGGGCGGAATCATCCGCCACCACACGAACCAGATTCTGGACGGAATCTCGCTGCTGGTGAGCATTCTGCGGTCGCTCCTGCATGCGTTCGTCGCGCCTGTATTGCCGCGGTCGCAGCAGCCGATTGGCGTTGACTCTGCCCTGACGCCGTGGATCATCGCCTATGCGCCATTCCCCGCCGAAAGCGCCGATTCATATGCCCGCCTGATCTCCGAGTTAGTCCGCGCCCGCCGGTTCTCCAGCGACAGTGGGTCACAGGCCAAGGAGCTTGTGAAGCTAACCCGTGGCACCAACACCTCTGGTGTGATCTCGACTTTGTCGTCCTTTGCGCCCTACATCCTGGCCGAATACTGCGTGATCCAGGGCGGTGACAGCATGTCGTCCATGTCCCGCGGGTCCGATGATTCCGCTCTGCATTCGTTCCAGGGCCTGTGCTGGCAGCCGCTGCCGGTGCTTGGCATAGGCAGTCATGAGAAGAGCCGCGGAATCATCGCTAACCCGGCGGTTAGGGAGATGCTGGTGCCGGCGTGGCATGCATTATTGGATGTCATGCGGGTTGCTGATAGAGAGTCGCTGCTGAGTGTTCTGGCGGGTACGTCTAGAGATGCCAAGCACTCAGGAGGCGCCGGCTGGTCGTCGATCTTTGGGCCCGATCGGTATGGTGGAGCGAATGAGGTGCTAAAGGCATTGTACCAGAGCTATTTGGCATTCTACAAGTACACGGGCGAGGTCTAGAAGCATTTTTCCCAGTGCGCTATTATGATATACATGAGCACGCTGGCTGAGCGTACACTTTGGTCACTAAAAACGTGCTTGAGGCTACCGCTTGGGCATAAGTGATTGGAATATATTCATTTTGAACTATGCTACATAGACTAGTGTTGTGGCGATATTCCCGCCTACTTCTTGAGGTGGATGTACTTGAAAGAGCCCTTGGGAACAGTCCGCGTGCCGTACTGGTGGCGCTTGTAGTTGTACTCCTCAATCGTGACGCTGTTGCCCGAGACCTTGGCCACCCACACCACATGTCCGAACTTGCTGCCGCTGTCCGTCTGACCCACAGCTCCCGGCTTCGGCGTGTTGTTCACAGTGACGCCGGAGGCACGCGCCGCGTCGTCCCACTGGTTGGCGTTACCCCATGCCTTGCCCTTGTAGCGGTTGTGGAAGTTGATGCCCAGGCGCGAGTTGATGCGCCAGGCGACGAAGCTGACGCACTGGCACGAGTAGTACCGCCACTTGTCGACGATGTCGCACCTTCCCTTGTACGGGTAGTCGTCCTTCATCGGGCCCGCGCCGCCAGTGCTCGGCTTGTCGTCGGGCTTTGGCTTGCTGGGCGCAGGACACTTCTTGGCCACATAGCCGTTGCCTGTGTCGACGTAGTAGTCGCTCACATAGCAGCCGTGCTGCGTCTTGTCCCAGAGCTCGTTGCCGTTGACCTTTGTGCCTGGCGTCTGGCACGAGAGCGTCACTTGAGCTCCCTTCTTGTATGTGCGCACGACATTGCTGGAGGTTCCCGGACCCGACCGGCAGTTGACCGTGTCGCCCTTGATGGCGTAGCCGGAAACGAGCTGCGAAGAAGTGGCGAGTAGAAGAGCGGCAATTGCGACGAATTTCATTTTTAAGAGCATAGGATATTGTTTTCTTTGGTTGCGATATGGTTTGAATAGAGAGGGCCGAGCAAGATACCTGGTGTGTTTATATACAAATTTCCAGCCTATACTTGAACCTATTTTTAGTGGAATTCTTGATAGCAGTGATAGTTTGTTTGGCAACCAAGCACACATAACGTAGCTATTGTCGTTGATATGCAGCACTGCAGTTCAGTCCGTTCTGATGACTTTCACGACCACTATCTCTTGAGCTAATAGTTAGTTTGAAGGTTCGTACAGCTATTTGCAGATCCTGTAGTATTTTCCAGAACATCTATTTTTGGCGGATACGCAAAACACGTACCAGACTTGCTGTTTAAAACATAACATCAGGGCAAAGCTTCTCACGACATTGAAAACCTCAGCTGGCTCCAATTTTTATTTTTAGGTCGTGCAAACCAACATACCGGCGCATGATTACATGCCACTCAACATACCATCCCCACTATGTCAAAATGTAATAGCTGAATCTATTTTTAGGTGTCATATATCTGCATAACCATGCACGCTTACATGAGATCTTCTTGGAATTTCCAGAATATTGGTCTTGCTTGTCGGTTTATTTATAGACGCCTGCCCAAACAGATTCCTGGATGGTGGTACGGCTTCGTAAGCCAACTATCGAAATTTTCTAGACTAATGCGTATTTTCAGCAGAACATGTGGTGCGTCGATGTCTGCGTGGTGGTAGCTACACCCTTCAGCAAACAAACTGGACAAAATGTAAACAACATATAGCCGTGCTAAACTTAGCAGCGGTACAAGTTGTACAAGTTACCGTATATGTTAAGACAATGTCAAATCATCGTCGATGTATAAAAGATTGTGTTGCTGTTCATTTCCATCAAAAACAGGAAATTCACTACTCTTCACACTAACAAACAACAAAAGCATAGTTTGAAAAAGAATGAGGTTCGTCGCAATTGCCGCTCTTCTACTCGCCACTTCTTCGCAGCTCGTTTCCGGCTACACCATCAAGGGTGACACGGTCAACTGCCGGTCGGGTCCGGGAACCTCCAGCAATGTCGTGCGCACATACAAGAAGGGAGCTCAAGTGACGCTCTCGTGCCAGACGCCAGGCACAAAGGTCAACGGCAACGAGCTCTGGGACAAGACGCAGCACGGCTGCTACGTGAGCGACTACTACGTCGACACAGGCAACGGCTATGTGGCCAAGAAGTGCCCCAAGGGAACCGGTGGCAAGCCTGGTGGTTCCTCGGGCGGGTACTGCTAGAGCGTCAACGCCGCCTCGCTCAACCTGATCAAGGAGTTCGAGGGTTTCGTCAAGAGCCCGGCTCCAGATCCCATTGGTCTGCCCACCGTCGGCTGCGGCCACCTGTGCCAGTCCAAGGGCTGCAAAGAAGTCAAATACAAGTTCCCGCTGAGCAAGTCCACCGCCGAAGCCCTGCTCAAGGACGACCTTCCTAAATACACGTGCCTGGGCAAGTACCTGAACGGCAAGGTCAAGCTCAACCAGAACCAGTGGGGTGCGCTGGTGTCGTGGGTGTTCAACATGGGCTGTGGCGCAGCCCAGTCTTCGTCGCTGGTCAAGCGCCTGAATGCCGGTGAGAACCCAGGCAAGGTCATTGCTGCTGAGCTGCCCTAGTGGAAGCATGCTAGTGGCCGTGCTCTGCCTGGTCTTGAGCGTCGCCGTAAGGCTGAGGTCAAGCTTGCCCAGGCGCCTTCGAACAAGCAGGCTTTCCCCAAATGCGATTAAGCAAAAAAATCGTATGTAAAATATGCTTGGTGTTTTCAATGAAACGCTGGTTTTAAATAAAGGAAAGGAAAGGATTGAGCGCGCCGCTGTTGTCGTTATATATATCCTCGGCTGCTGCTGTAGCATGTAGCTGCGGCTGCACTCTCGGTAGTATTTGCCTGGGCGATGATGGGCTCAGCTGTCTACGTTCATGTACCTGGAGGTCACAACCTGTATAAGATCCTCGTTGGCTACAGGGCTTGGTCGCTCTGAACTGACTTGCAGGTATTAGTCGACAGCGGGCAGCTCGACAGCACAAAAAGAGGGCCCTTGTAATATTGGGCACTGGACACAAGTCGTGGCCCGTTATTTCTGCCTACTGTCACAAATGCTTAAATGTTGGCGGGGTCATGGTTAATGTACCTCTTTTGTGGGTAAACAGGATCAATACGAGTAGATAGAAACTAGATGTCTGAGCCCAGCCTCTTGAGGGCAGCCTCGACGCGCGCACCGTAGTCATTGTCGATGCGGTAGAGGTGAGTCAGGGTCCGCTTCTGGATGACTGCCGGCGTCGGCGCAAGGGTTCCAGCGAGATTGTTGATCAGGTCAGTCCGCTCGCTCTCACTCAGCAGGTTGTATAGCGCCCTGGGCTGCTCAAAGTCGGCATCCGTCAGCTGGTACTGGTGGCGCGCAACATTGCCCGACACCGCGGAGTTGCTGGCAATCTCGACAGCGCCGGCGCTCTGCGAGGGTCCGCCGAACGAGTTGGGCTCGTAGTTCGGGGCGCTGCCGAAATTGTAGAAGGCCATGGGGCCGTCGCGCTGGTGGTGGTTCACATGGTTCTTTGGGCGGTTGATCGGCAGCTGCAGGTAGTTGGCGCCCAGGCGATGGCGGTGGGTGTCTGGGTAGCTGAACAGACGGCCCTGCAGCATGCGGTCGGGCGTGGGTGCAATTCCGGGGACCATGTGCGACGGCGAGAAGGCGGCCTGCTCGACCTCGGCAAAGTAGTTCTCGGGGTTGCGGTTCAGCACCATGCGGCCGACCTCCTGCAGCGGGAAGTCCTTCTGGCTGATGATCTTGGTGACATCAAACACGTCGTACTTGTAGTTGTGGGCCTCCTCCTCGGTCAGCACCTGGAGGTAGACGGTCCACGACGGGTGGTCACCCTTCTCGATGGCGCTGAACAGGTCCTCGGTAGCATAGTCGGGGTTGGTGCCGGCCAGCTTCTCAGCCTCGGCTGCCGACAGATTCTTGACGCCCTGGTCGGTGCGGAAGTGCCACTTGACGTAGTGGGAAGAGCCGTCCTCAGCGACCAGCCGCAGGGTGTGGCTCGAGTAGCCGTGCATGTGGCGGAAGCCGTCGGGTGTGCCGCGGTTGGACATCAGGATGGTGACCTGATGCAGCGACTCGGGCACCAGCGACCAAAAGTCCCACATCATGGTGGGGCTCTTCAGATGGGTCTGCGGGTCGCGCTTCTGGGTGTGGATGAAGTCGGGGAACTTGAGCGGGTCGCGGATGAAGAAGATTGGGGTGTTGTTGCCGACCATGTCCCAGTTGCCCTCCTCGGTGTAGAACTTGACGGCAAAGCCGCGGGGATCGCGCGCAGTGTCGGCCGAGCCCAGCTCGCCACCGACAGTCGAGAAGCGGGTGAAGACTGGCGTGCGCTTGCCGACCCCGCTCAGGAACTTGGCACAGGTCAGATGCGAGAGGTCCTTGGTCAGCTCGAAGTACCCGTGGGCACCCGCGCCCTTGGCGTGCACAACGCGCTCGGGGATGCGCTCGCGGTCAAAGTGCGCAAGCTTGTCAATCAGATGGAAGTCCTGCAGCAGCGCCGGCCCGTAGAAGCCGGCGGTCTGAGTAGTCTGGTTGTTGGTGACGGGGTTGCCGTTGCCCGTGGTAAGCGTGCCGCGGTCCTCCCCCAGGGTGGTGTTGGTTGTTGTGGTGTTGACCATGGCAATGGGATGGAGATTGAGATAGTGGAGAGACTGGAGATAATCTTTTATTCACGAAAGACAGGTTTGGAGGAAAATACAATGGCGGCTCGGCGCTGCTGTTTATATGTGCTCGTGTGGGCAGAATGGCCCCCCTTCCCCCCGCCAGAAATTTTTGCGAACACCGAGGCGCACATGGCCGGCTGTTTCTGTTACTATTTCGGCATCTAAGGCCAGGCATGCTCTGGATGAGGGCTCTACGTGAAGACAGCTGCAAAAAGAGTGATGCAACGGGCTGCAGCGCCCCTGCACGGCCACATTTGTGCTTGCTACTCCGTCCTGCGCGTGACCATTAGTAATGCCCACGGGCAAATAAGTTCGCACTTACTGCTGCTAGACGAGTACTCGCTGTACATGTACCGGATGCTTTGCCAGTCAGAACACAGAGGTCCACAAGTCATTTGTAATCTGGATCGGTTTTGCGGACAATTATATTGGTAGTTACGTCACTTGCTCTGCGTTCCAACATTGCAGTGTAACACCGGTGCCATATATTGGGGAGGCGGGGCTCTCGGGAACTTTTCTGCTTACAATTGCACAGCTAAGCCATGCTTTCCACGGCACTGCTCGCCCCATGTATAACACCGGAGAGCCCGCCGAAAAGCCAAGGGTCTACGATAATGACACAAAGGTATGCAAGCTACCCTGGAGAAAAGACATAGATGTACAAACCACTTTACCTGATCTAGATCGATTGCCTTCAGCCCCCTAGCCATCCCGCCATTTCCCTCACCCCGAGCCGAGACGCCTGTATTTTGCACCTTGACTAGCCACGGATCTGTCTAGAACGGAATACTCCCTGCGGCCTCAAACACATCCTACATTCCACGTGTTGAACAGCAACATAGCTACTCTCTGGTGGCAGGATCAAATTACGCGTATAGAACACAGCAAAGGGATACGCAAAAGCTCGTCTGGATAGCGCTGTGTAGGTCTGTCTGCAAGCGAATCTTCACTGCTAAAAAACTGATATCGTACATCAGTATCGTAATTTATTCGAATTGGACAACATCAGAGTGGACGGTGCATGCATATGAACCAGGCACATCAATTGCCTTAGCGTGGTTTGGATGAATTTTGTACATTAATGGTATTGCAGTAGCTCGCCTTCTTGCGCCATGTCTGCTTCCCCTTGCATTGCCTGCTCTTCTGTCTCCATCGACAACAAGAACGGATGCCGCCGCAGCTCGTGCCACAGCATCCTCTTTGCCGGGTCCCGCTGCAGCAACCCCTCAAGAAACTCCTTCAGCTGTGCCGGGATCCGCTTCGGCCAAACAATGTCCTCCTCCATGATGTTTTGCTTCAGGTCAGCCAGGCTGGTGGTCCGGAACGGCGTCTTTCCCACAAACAGCTCATACAGCACAACTCCGAGCGACCACAAATCCGCCTTGTTCGTATACCGCTCCCTGCGCAGCATCTCCGGCGCCATATATAGAGGCGTCCCCTTGAGCGTGTGCACGTATATGGGCTTGCCGTCCCGCGTCAGCTGCGTCGCCAGCCCGAGATCGCATAGCTTGACCCGGCCATCGCACCCGATCAGCGCGTTCTGCGGCTTAATGTCATGGTGCACCACCCCCAGCGTGTGCAGGTACTTTAGCGCTGCTACAAGCTGCAGCCCGATCTCCCGCACCTCCTCCATCTTCAGGAACCCTCCCTTGCGCTTCAAGTACACCGACAGGTCACACTTGCAGTACTCCAGCACGATATAGATATCTGTGTCCGTCTCAAAGTATTCGATTAGGCGGATGATGTGCGGGTGGTTCAGGTGCTGCAGCAGGCGCATCTCCTCGCGATATGTCTCGATGTCGAGTCGCTTGCGGTTCACCTTGCTGATGATTTTTAGAGCCACCACCAGTCCTCGGCTGCGGTGCACTGCCTTGTACACCTTTCCGTACTGGCCTTCGCCCACCAGCTGTATCAGAATGTACTTGTCAATGAGCTGCTGTGTCTCTGCAGTTGTTGCCATTGTCCGAATAAGCTGAAATGAGGTTAGTAGACTAGAAATTCGTGAAAGCTGAGCAAGTAGCGACGCAAAAGTTTGCCATTGTGAGACCTTCAGGGAGGTGCTAACAAAAGATATTATGAGACTACCTAGCTGAGCCGAGTCGCGACTAGAACAGAGCTGCTGCCGCTCCGGCAATGACAACGCCCAAGAGGACGGCAGCACTGACGCTTCTTGCCCCCGCTGCTATCGCCTGCGGTGTCTGAAGATGTGTCGGTGTTGGTATCTGGCCTGTCGCCAGTATTAGAGCCGGTCTCAGATGTAGCTCCAGAGCCCGTCCCTGATCTAGTTCCAGAGCCAGTTTCGGTGTCCGCTTTGGTACCAGTGTCAGACAAAGACTGAAATTTGGTGTGCCATCCATCAATGTCACAGATTTCATAATCAGAAGCCGGTGTGCTCGGTGCAGGGGCAGAATCATTGCCAGAGTTGCTACCCTGTTTGGAGTTTGTTGCGGTTGTGGCTGGAGTAGTGTTCGGTACAGAACAACCACCAAAGACACCACACAGCCCTGAGGTCGCCTGGGTCGAGAATGTGGTCGCAGTCGTAGTAGAGTCAGATGTAATTGGCATATTGTCGAACTGGACTGGACATCAGATGGAGCTTAGTCCTGCTGGGGCACATATGTGGCTGGTCGGATAGTACCTGATTGCCCACAGATTTTTGCTCTAGCAAGTCTGGTGTGTAAGATCATCACCACTGTTAATGCACTCCGCAACACCATGGGAGCTCTCTTGGCTAAAGGAAGTTTGGGCGAGGAATGCTAGAGCGTGAATGCTGGCGAAGCGAAGCATTTAAATAAAACTATCGAAAACCGAAAACGACGGCAATAAGGGAAAGCGCGATTCAAGGGTCACTGGCAGGTGGCCTTGTCCTTGACAGCATAGACGATGCTATATAAACATCTAGCCAAACTTTCCAGAAACCCAGTGTTCCCTCTCTTTCTGCAAAAAAAAATTACTGGGTAGCTAGCACTGTGCCTGTATGGCGTCTGTTCCATGGATATGGAGTTTCCAACTTCCTAGTGAATCGAAAGTAGACGGCGGTTTCATCCAAGACT